GAGTCTGGTTTCGCCTTTCCGCAACACCATTCATGCTAGGTTTACCTGGCATTGTGTATTGCGGGATGATTCCACACTCCTTTAGGAAGATTGCAAAGGGCCCTGGACGTTGTTCACCTGATCCATCAGATCTACCATAGTATTCACCACCACGATCAGATCTAATGGCCTTAATTTTCTTGCCTAACTGAAGTTCAACTTCAGCTTTAAATTCTTTGAACACATCCAATGATTGTGACTTCTCTCTAATCAAATATAGGTATCCAAATCTTGAATAGTCGTCTATGAATGTGATAAAGTATTGTTGACCATTCCAAGAGGCTATAGGAAATGGTCCACAAATATCCGTATGAATCAATTCTAAGACGTCTGAAGCTCTATTGGAACTTATTTTCCTTATGTTTGTCTGTTTCCCCTTTATGCATTCAATGCACACCTCAAAATCATCCAGATCAAGGGGTTCAAGAATTCCATCAGTCACAAGCCTATGAATTCTCTGTTTAGAGATATGACCTAAACGCTTGTGCCACAGAATGGCAGAATTCTCTTTTAACTTTCGCTTTGTACCATTTGCACTCGATTGCAATATTTCATTATCAGTAGAAATAGTATCAAGCATGTAAAGATTATCAATCAAAGAACCAGTACCAACAATATTTGAATTAAGCGAAAGACAAAATTTATTATTTCCAAATGAACAAGAATAACCAGATTTGTCCAAGCTAGAAATAGAAATTAAATTCCGTCTAAATGACGGTGCAACAAATGTCTCTTTCAAATCCAAATAAACACCAGTTTTTAACAATAATCTAAAATTCCCAATAGCTTGAACTGCAACCTTCTTGCCATCGCCCACAAAGATGTATCTCTCAACATCACTTGGCGGTCGGCTCCACATGCAACCCTGCATAGACACACTAATGTGAGTAGTAGCACCAGAGTCTACCCACCAAGTATCAATAGGTACAGTAGCTAAATTAATTTCAGAACAAACTAAAGTGAGAGTCATACCCTTCTTTTCGCGCCATGCCTTGTATTTGGAACACTCTTTCTTCATGTGTCCAGATTTCTTACAAAAGAAGCAGGTGAATTCCTGATCCTGCTTCTTTTGCTTCTTTGGCAAAGCATCCGCATTATCCTTAGCTCTCTTTCTTTTCTTGTCTTGAGAGGTTGATGCCAAGTGAGCACTATCAGTCTTCTCTCGCTGTAACCTCTCTTCCTCTTGCACGCATTGAGAAATGAGCTCATTAAGAGTCCATTTTTCCTTTTGAGTGTTATAACTCACCACAAATTGACCGTATTGTGCAGGAAGAGAGATAATAACTAAGTACATGAGCAACTCAGAGGGTAGCTCTAACTTTAATGCCTTTAGTTTTCCAGCAAGATTAGACATTTCCATAATGTACTCCCTTATGTTTCCCTTTCCTTTATACCTCATGTTTATGAGTTTGGACAAGGTTTGACCAATTTTAGCCTTTTCATTTCGAGCAAAGTATTGCTCGAGTTCCTTCAGAAACAACTTGGCATCAGTAGTCTCAACAATCGAGCCCCTAAACGCCTCCGAAACGGAACGTTTCATGATCATCAGACACATGCGATTTGAGCGTTCCCCCTTCTCAATTTTATCCGTGTTTGGATTTTCCTGAGTGGAAGTGGGTTTCTCAGTCCTTAGCGCATTGTCGAGATCCATGCAACCGAGAACATTTCCATATTCTCTTTCCACATCTTGAAATTTGTCCCATTAAGCATTGGAAGCATATTCATTTGAGCAACATAATTGGCAGCGGTAGCAGAAACTATACAGAGAACCAAAAAAGATAACATACTAATAACATGTCATATCATATATATTCATACACGATATAGACAAATAATCCGAAGTAAAATGAGTTTATTATAAGATACCTAGCACAACATTAATATTTAGTCTGTGGACAAAAATATCAACTTGTAAGTGGTACTCTTAATGTAGTAATCAAACATTGACAATAAGTCCTGTCAAATCATAGCCTTCCTGTGGGCTGACTATGAATTACATGGAGAATTCTTGATAATTGTCACATATTTATTACCACAGGTATGTTTGTTACTTGGCCAAATAATAATCGTCCTGTGGGCCGATCACTATTCGCATAAGCAATAAACACACACATGATCACACAACATATGTTATTTGGCCAAACAATAACCTTCCTGTGAGCCGATTAATATTTGCATAAATAAAATATATTTATATGACCAACCTATTTGAAATCAAATTAACCTTTTATAAATTTGGCCACTGTGGCGGCTAACAAATCTATCATATTTAATTTCAAATAGAAACCTTCAGGGATAATAAACCCATTTAAAACCAAAATAACAACAATAAAGAAAATTATTCTTTATCAATCATCAATGTATATACATACATACTTTATCCTTATACCATTAACAATAAATACCTATTCATTATAAGGCTTAAAAAATGATGCACAAACAACGCACATGTAAGCCTTTTCAAATGAAAGCTTGAAAATGATGCATAATATCCACAAAAAAGAAGAAGTTATATTTAGCTTTTAACAAAGAATATCAAATATAAGGAAAACCCCAAAACCAAAGACCTTAAACATTTGATTTCTTTCAAACCGTAAGTCCAAAATTTTTTAAGAGAATTCGTTGTTTATTCAAAAATTCAAACAACAAAACCTTAAACATTTGACCGGAAATTTAAGATGGTCACTATCATTATCTCGACTTTTTGTGTCATCAAGGTCGTTGGTTTTAAGTTTCAATGGGTATTATAGATTGCACAACATAAATATATGCTCACAGCGTGATGGTCAACAAAATCTTGAATTTGTATTTTATACCTTCAATTTGACACCCACTCTTCTCCACTTCTCTTTAATTTCCCCCCGCTACACAAGAACTTATGAATAGATAATATCCGTCTCTCACTCAGCTATTTGATATTATTATGTTAAATGTTAATCCACCCATGTGTTATTCATTAACATATCAGTGCCAGAGTTTTTGGTTGCAATTAATTAAGTACCAACTCAAATTAGCAATAATTCATGAATTACAAGGATGCTATACACCGCCAAATGAAAAAAATGGCCATCAATATTCAATAAGAAAGCACTACTTAAAAAAACTCTATTATCGACGGAATTTATCAACAGAAAATATTCCGTCAAAGATAGTTACGGAATTTAAGACGGAAATAGAGTTCCGTTTGAAATAGAGACGGAAAAAATTTCCGTTGAATTTTAAGACGGAAATGTGCAACGGAAAATAAATTCCGTCAAAAATTTTGACGGAAAATAAGTACCGTTGAAATTTTCTGTCAAAAATTTAGCATCTGTTTTTTATAATCGAAAAAAGCAATGGATTTTTTCTGTCAAAATTTTCAACGGAATATTTTCGTCAAAAATAGAAACGAAAAATCAGTCTGTGGAAACTTTCAACGGAATTTTAGTATTTTTCCGTCGAAAATTGCAAGGGAATTTGTTTTCGTTGAAAATTCCAACGGAATTTTTTTCGTTGATAATTTTCGTGTATTCGATTCGTACACGATAATGAGTCACAATTTCAAAGGCTTTTGATTTTTTATTTCAAAAATTGCAACGGAATTTTATCCGTTGAAAATTACAACGGAATAAGTTTCCGTTGAAAATTCCAACAGAATTTTGGTATTTTTCTGTCGATAATTTCAACAGAATTATTTTCCGTTGAAAATTTCCACGGAATTTTTATCCGTTGGTAATTTTATGCAAGAATGCTATCATTTATAATTGTTTATGGTGTTGTACATACATATTGAAACATTCGTGTGAGAATGCGAGTAGTCATGACTATCCATAAGTAAAAGTGTTGAAGTAATGCGTGATGTTATGAGTATACAAAAATGATGCTCAGATGTACTCACATGAAAATGGATATGAAAATACGTAAATATGTTGCTAATATATTCGTGTAATCTTTACCAGAAATCATCATCTTACAAGAATTTATTTAAGTGAGAGATAGAGAAATGAAATTTCCACCTTTTAGCAACACCAGAAGTTCTATGACTACAGCGGTGAATTTATAGAGTAGGTGGGTGGGCTTGCGTGATTCTTTACTTTGACCATTTTATGATGGTTCAAAGTGTATTCCTAAATGACTCGTGAGAGATAATGACTTATTATTGTCAAAAATTCAACGGCTTTTGATTTTTTTTTTCATCAAAAATTACAACGGAATTTTATCCGTTGAAACTTACAACGGATTAATTTTCCGTTGAAAATTCCAACGGAATTTTGGTATTTTTCCGTCGAAAAGGTCAACGGAAATATTTTCGGTTGAAAATTTCCACGGAATTTTTATCCGTTGGTAATTTTAACTGAATTTTGATCCCGCATTTTGTTCTTCAAGTAATCAAATCATAAATTTCTTTTATGCAAGAATGCAGCGGAATAATTTTCCGATGAAAATTCCAACGGAATTTTGGTCCGTTGATACTTTCAACGGAATTTTGGTACTTTTCCGTCAAAAATGTCAACGGAAATATTGTTCGTTGAAAATTTCCACGAAATTTTTATCCGTTGATAATTTTAACTGAATTTTGATCCCGCAATTTGTTCTTCAAGTAATCAAATCACAAATTTCTTTTATGCAAGAATGCAACGGAATAATTTTCCGTTACAAATTCCAACGGAATTTTGGTCCGTTGATACTTTCAACAGAATTTTGGTCTTTTTTCGTCGAAAATTTCGACGAAATTATTTTTCGTTGAAAATTTCCAAAAATTTAATTTTTTTAAAATATGGTACTTTTTACTCTCATTTTAAAATAAGGTACTTTTACTCTTTGTTATCTTCCCTCCTTACCCAAATTATTTCCCTCTCATTTAATTTTTCACAATCTAAAAGTTTCGCCTTTTTTCTAAGCCTTCCTCTCTCATATTCCGATTCATCTTCTTCTTCTTTGTTTATCTCAAACCCCAATCCCTCTTCAACCCCAATGACCCCAATCCCTCTTTAAGAGAAGAAGAGGTAATGTAGTTGTTTCACTTTGTGTGCAGAGGCAGCCGCAACAGCGTTGCCGAGGAGCCTGTAGAGTAAGAAGAAGAAGCAGAGGCAGCGAGCTTTGGGATATTTCAGCCACTTGGGTCACATGGTTCGCAAGAACATGGAGTTTCTGAAGAGAGGATTTGATAATGGTGTTGTGTGGGCCAATGAGGCCTTATGCTTTCCCCTGGTTGCCAAGAAAATCAATGACTTTTTTTGGCTTCATGATCTCGAAGACCCTCTTGCTCCTCCCTTTTCTGCATCTTCCTGGCCACACCCTTGGTACCCAGGTACGAAAAAATGCTTCTTTTGCATGTGGGGTGTGCACGAATGGCTTGAAATCATAATATGTCTGTTTGTTTAATCAGCCTAATTCTGTGTGAGTGGGCCATTTTTGTACTGGATGCAGAGCTTCAAAGCTTCAGAGGGCATCCAATTTCCGTCACTTTCCGCGTCGAGCGCCTCGAAGGCAATTTGCCCCTTCCTAAATCCTCTGATTCAGGTTCATTTCCCCTTCCTTATCTACAAACTACCATTGTTAAACTCTTCAATCTTTGTAATTTTGGGATCGCTATCAAACTTGATAAATTTACATTATATAATTGCTTTGCTTATGATCAAGTGTAAGATATTGTTATGTCTTGGGCTTTATGCTTATGCTCAACTATCATTGTGCTTAGACCTCTGTACGTTTAGCAGAAAATAATGCCCCCACGGAGGATAGAACTAGTGAGTTATATGTGGAGTGTGCACTGTACATTGATGGAGCACCATTTGGCCTTCCCACAAGAACAAGGTTTTTATATTTTATTAAAATACTTTTTGCAGTTTATGTTTTACAGACCAAATCATATTCAAAGCCAATTAATGCGGTTGTTATAGTTTGCTAATCGTGAAGGAATGATTTTTATGGGATAGGATTTCTTTTCGTTATTTAGCTCTTCAATTATACTATTATGATTGAGATTATTTTTTTATGATTTTTTTTCATTTCCATGTGCTCCAACCTCCGTTGGTATTGTGTTAAAAATAAAGATTTGAATAAAAATCTTGTTATCATGTTTTATTTGTGTCATAGAATCGTATGTCTCATTGATTGAGAGATATGCCTTATATAATTTCCAAAAAAGAAGAAGGAGATATGCCTTATATAAACATGATTACAGTAGTAGATTAAAGATATAAAATGATAGAAACAACGAACAAATACACGTTTTCCGGTAACCAATTGCCCCCCAACAAAACAATCTTTTGTTTGAATATTGTAAAAGGAACCTGGTGAAAAACGAAGCACATATTCACACCAGTTGGGTAAAAATGCATAGGACTCCTCCCAATCACCATATAACATTGCCATTGCTTTCTGCTTCGCATACCATGCCTTTCGATATGAAACTTTGAATCCATATGAATGTGTTATCCTCTCCTGGACGAGGGAAATGGCCACTGAAGGTTCCTTTTTTATCATCTCTGAATTATAAAAGCTGGATATAAACATTAAAAAAACAACAGGTATATCAACTGCAATTTTAATTTGAAATTACGTACCTACTACAAGTGCTGCAATAACGTCAGAATCAAGTTGTCGATGATCTTGAGAAATATGGTCATTCAAGCAATTGTGCTTCCCACCCCATTTCGTTACCTTCCAATTTTCACCATACGTTGGTTTAATTACCCTGACCCTCCACGGGCAACCTTGGACGTGTGCACAACATTTCATGCTTAATTTTGTGGGAGTGCTCTCAACCACAATTGCTTCTTGATGCTCCTTCATGAGGTAGCGCTTGATTGCCATCTGAGCCTCTTTTTTGGATGTAAATTGTTGGTTAACAAACAACTTTTCTCCCAATTGCCAAGGACCCTGGATTGAACCCGAACTCTGCGTCCATGATTGTGCCTCACTCGGATAATCCCAATCAATATATGTGTAATGTGGAATTTCTGACCAAAAAGGATCAACAGGTGCATCACCTACATGTACTACGTAATAATAATAATAGAATTAAATTATTTTCTTAATCAAAAATTGCAACAACCAAACTGTCATCTGTTTAATTGATAGCATACCTTCAGGATGTTCTGGTACTTGACTCGATGTTGTGCCATGATGTACAACGATACAAGACTCCCCCAAATCATGCAACGGTTGAAGTTCAGTACCAGACCTGCCACATTCTTCGTCATTGTCCGATGCACTCGCATCCTCTAAAAGAAGACGATCCTCTATTGCATCATCTTCGTCATACTCCTCATCCATAACCCAAGTAGGGTCATGTTCATCTTCGTCAGACATGTTAACAGCAGGAACAACAGATGATGATGCATTAAGAGGAGAAGTAGACCTAACTGACCTCATTGGTATGACAACTTCCTCTGCGGTTGTAGTATCCACATACAACTCTAAGAAATCCTTTCTACACTGGTTCAAGAACTCTTCCATTACCATATCGATGTCTTCGTCATCGACCACTTGCAGGCTAATGTATTGTTCACATTGCCATAACCTTGCCGTGACAAGAGTGATCAATTGGTTGTCTTGAAGACATAATTTTTGACGTATTTTCTGATGCAGCTCAGCAACCGTTGAGTTTCGTTTAATACGTGATGGCCTTTTCTCCCCTACAAAAATAACACCACGACGACCTTCTTCTTTCCTACCGTTAAAATATAGAACAACACGAATAGTATCAGAATTCGCACTCATTTTTAAAATCAAAATTTTAAAAGATAAAACAAAATATGAGTAAACAAGTGCAAACTATGTGAGAGAGTTTAGCATAAGAATGACAGAATGGTGAAGAGTGTGTAGGGGGGTGGGTGTTTAAATAGCAGTCAGTTTAGTCACTCACGCCCATAATTAGGCGTGTCTACCCACTGAACACGCCTTATATTAGGCGTGACCGCACACGCCCTTCTTTGGGCGTGTTTTCTTCACAAGCTCACGCCCCTCGTGGGCGTGTCTCTCTCCATCAGAACACGCCCCATGAGGGCGTGTTTGGATGCTATAGATTCGTAATTTTTTGCAAAACGACAATTTATTCGTAATTTTTTATTAAAAAAGTAATAAATTAATTTTTTTGCCCTACTCTTAGTATATATACAAATTTAACTATATACTAAAGGCAGTATATATACAAATTTAACTATATACTAAAGGCAGTATATATACAAATTTAACTATACACTAAAGGTAGTATATAAATTATCCTTAGTATATAAATAACTTTGTAAAAAAAAAAATTATACATATAACATTCCTCTACCATTTGATGCATAGATCCCAATAAAAAGAGTAATTTTAGATCAATATATACAATGACTGCCTTTGTAAAAAATTTGCTGGCATGTAATATGCATTCCGTGATCTGCACATTTAACTTTTGACAAATTATTCATTTGATAATTATAATGTAAAACAATTCCTATTAACTTGATTTGTTCCATATTTATAATGGAAAAATGTTGTAACCATTTTTTATGAAATTATAGAGAGTAAATAGTAATCATTTCACATTATTTGAAAGTTATGTAATCTTTTTAAATAATTTTAAACTGTAAATAATTTGAATTAAAATCAAATTATAAGTAACAACTTACTAATTTCATATGAGTTTTTGGAAAATGAATAACCCTTTAAATTGTGGCTATGGCATGTAATGCGGTTTAATTCCTTAAACTATCATATATTACAATATACCCCTTTGAAGTTATAACATCTTGCAATTTGAGCCTCTCTCCACCCTATTCTATTGTTTTCTCAAAATTGAGGCATTTTGATAAATCAATATGGGAAAAAAAATTTGATGTTACTTTATCAATTTTGTCTGATGTTCATCGAAATGACGTCGTTTTGGGTTGAAAAATTAAAAAATTAGAATGATAAAGACTATTATATCCCTAAAATAAATTAAAATTACAAAATTACCATGATTTCCGACCCAAAACGACGTCGTTTCGATGAACATTAGATAAAGTTATATAAAGTAACTTTAGAAAAAATAAACCCAATCAATATATGATCCGTGAATCATCTTGTAGGTAACTAGAAGGGTGGCCTTCTGAATGTTGAGATATATAGTCCCACATTGGTTGTGTGTGCAACTAATGTGGAGTTTATAAGGCCTTGGACACTCCCACCCTTTGAGCTAGCTTTTGGGGTGGTGTATCCCAAGGTTCTTTACATGGTATCAGAGCTTGATTCTCACCGCCTCCCGCTTTCAAGTGGAAATAAAAATAAAAAGCACAAAAGGTAAACCAAAAATTAGGCCTGTGCAATTTCCACGCTTCAAGCCCAAAGGGCTCTTGCGTGAGGGGGCGTGTTGAGATATATAGTCTCACATTGGTTGTGGTTGTGTGTGTGCAACTAATGTCGAGTTTATAAGGCCTTGAGCACTCCCACTTTTTGAGCTAACTTTTGGAGTGATGTATCTCAAAGTTCTTTACAATAATAGTTATAGGAAGCCACCTTAATGAACAATATATTTGTGCATACTGTGATAACTTTAAATAGTACCTATGTTTCTGCTCATGACAAATATGCGAGGGAAGTGAACAGATGGAAAAAAAAGTGCGGGCTTGAGAGCTCACAAGGAACTACCTAAACAAAATTTAACCAGTTATGTTGTCATACTCTACTTGTTTACTTCAATGACATAAAAAATAGTAAATTTTTATTTTTAAGGTATGAAAGTTCAAGTGTGAATAATAAATAATTAAGTCCGACATTATTTGGAATCACCCATGAATAATTTTAATTGTTAGGTAATTGATGGGGAGCTCAAATAGAAGAGGCTATTAACAATTGGTTAAATAAAAAATCCAACAAATTTTAACTCAAAACCTTAACAGTTAAGATATTAAATTTTTAAATCATTTCGCATGTAGGAATGATGTTAAAATCATTGAGAGGAGATAATATGTGTGAGAGAAATCACTTCTATACTACACACAGTTTAATAAAATAATACACAAGAAATTGAAACATATAATAACACATGATTAAAGACTACTGTACAAAAATATATGAATGCAATAAGAAAAAATCCAAGTTCAGTTGTCATTGTGTTCATAAAACAATTTTGCCCTTTTTATTATGTCCAAGATTCATGAATAATTGTTTCCCAAAATAAAATAGATTATCTTTGTTTGTTTATGGCACTCTCGAACAAACAACAATGACGGACGCAACTATTGCACAGAATGAATGCAAAAGATTTCAAAATTTATTTTGACAGAGTTTCAGTATAGGAGATAAATAAAAAAAATTCCACATTTTATTCTGATTTCCTTCCTTATTTATAAACCAGACTGATCACGATAAATGATGTCACCATAAAAAAATCTTATCTATTCATTTATAAATAGTTATATCTATTTAATAGTGAAAAAGAACATATCTTTATACCCAACCTGTTATACAAATCATTTGAATTCTATAACAATTTCAACAGTACACCTGTAATGAACTGTATTTCTTTAAAGGCGGGGCTAACTAGAAAAAGATGATACCAAATTAAAGCTTAAAATACGGCTGCCAAACTAGTAAAAGACACACTTTATAAAAAAAGTCACACTCTATTATCTGCATGCGTCGAACCAAGGCCACAAGCCCGCCACGCCAACAAACATATCTTATTTGTCGTTTGTTACGATTCTGCTCCTCCAAACTCCCAAGTCCACACACGTTGTCCTCTCTTTCTCTCTGTCACTATCTATTTTTCTTTTTCATTCA